TGTGAAAATTATTATTATTAATATTTTAATAATATTTATTTTTATATAAAATAATAAGTACTACATAATTATTATTATTATTATTTTATATATATATTTATATATATTTTAATATATTGATATAAAATCACAACATTTTTGACCAAATTGTGCAGCCCTGCAAACAAGCAATGCAACCCTAGTGTTTTTTAATCGCAATAACAATTTTCAAATAATAATTCATTATATTTAAGATTCACGCATTTTATGAATTGTCATTTTATTTAAATTATTTTGTGTTGTATATGTACGCGTGCGTGCGTGCGTGCGTGTGTGCGTGCTTGTTGTTGTGTGTGCTATGCTATACCAAATGTCCCCACAAGGATAGTAAAACCTGAAATTCCCCACAAGGGAAAAAAATCATTAAAAATAGTAAATGATGTTTATCTGAAAGTGTAACAATGCAAACAGGTTTTCTTGTGTGTGTATGTGTATATGTGTGTGTGTGTGTGTGTGTGTGTGTGTGTGTGTGCATCCTACTTAAATACATTTTTAATTAATTACCGCCTGCTCTCATCACAGTTCTAATGCCACTATTGGTTATAATTAGCATATATTATTGTCAGCATACACACTTGAATGTGGCTCAATCTTTAAATGAAATGGTCAAAAACTGGTGTAAAAGTATCATTAGTTGTTTGAAAAATCTAAATCTAAAATGTCATCCCACACGGTTTGTGCAACAGACATGAATGATGCCTCAAATCGTGTGGCTCCCTGAGGAGTGTGCAATTAATTTTCTAAGCAGTCAGATTTGTGTTTTTTGTGTAGAGTGTCTTGGACAGGACTGTGAAAAAGATATCTGGAAAAAGCAGTAGCTGTTCTCTTTAACATTAGGGTCAGCGTAAACTAGTATCAGAGCAGAACAGACTGAACCACATATGCCTTTCACACACAATTAACTCACCGTGCATCCATCTCCATGGAGTTATGTGTGTGTGCTTGTTTATGCTACACTGTGGGGACCAAATGTCCCCACAAGTATAGTAAAACCTGAAATTTTTGACATTGTGAGGACCGGCCTGCAGTCCCCATGAGGGGAAAAAAATATTAAAAATAGTAAATGATGTTTATATGAAAGTGTAACAATGCAAACAGGTTTTCTGTAAGGGGTAGGTTTAGGGTTAGGGGTTAGAAAATATCGTTTGGTCAGTTTAAAAGTAATAGAAGTCTACGGAAAGTCCCCACAATTCACAGAAACAAACGTGTGTGTGTGTGTGTGTGTGTGATGTGTCTTCAATGTTCAACAGCATAAGCTACCATCCTTGTCCACCATGAACTCTATCATCTCTATGGGTCAAACTACAATCTATCAGGATTATGGTGAGAAAGACTACGTCCCTGTCCAGGTGTTCACCTACCACACTGTTCCACAAGACAGCAATGAGACCGAAACCAAGACCTACAACAGCACTTCTGCTGTAACCCACCAGGACTCCAAACTCACACCAGCTCAAGCTTTCCCCACACATTTCCTCAACCAGAGCTACACCAAACCAGACCAAGTCACTCCTGCTGGATATAAAGAAGACCCACAGCCCTCATCTGACGATCTCTTGTTTGAATCGCTCTTCACCTACAACAGTAATCAAGCAGATTTATGCGGCTACATTTACGTGTCCGAGAGCTACGCGCCGGTCATTACGACCGTAGACTCGTACAGGACTCTCGACCTGAATGAGTGTCCGCATTTCCTACAGGTTTTACCAGAGGACACCAGCACGTAGTTCACTGCAGCGTAAACAATGAGTCTTACGTGACTGGGGTTTCACAATCCCACTCTCTCCAGCCCGCCAAAACATGAGCCCTCGTATCAACCACCATCTCTGTGTGCTTTGTGTTTGGCAGATAGATATACACAGGCTTGTGCAGTAACGGGATAGTTGGAACGGCATAAGGCTGGTACATAAAGCTGGGTGCAATTAAAATCAGAAACTTGTCTACTCTGTAAACTGTGTCCAGTGTAGACAGCCGCAGTTGATCATAATAGTTGCACTGGATTTACAATAGTTTCATGGACTGGTTCAAGAGATTGCATCCGATTGCTGTTTTGCCCGACACTTGAAAATGAATTGTGAACTTTTTCCAAGCAGCCTTTTTATCTGAGCAGCTCCTGTCAGATCTCGTCTAGGTCAAGGACACCACATGAGGACCGCTAGTCATTTCCACATGTGACACCTCTCTCACAAAACCTCTCTGGTCTAGAGTCAAATGTGCATAAACCACTGATTCCAGTTGCCAGTTGAGTGGAAAATATGTGCTGGGTCGGAAAATTAGCTTTCGTTGCATGGAAACTTGGCCTATATTTGCTATTTCTGAGATCAAACAGTGCCATATGTCTTGTGACATAATATTGTTTTTCTCATTTTTTTATTAGCAAATGGTGCTTGAAAAATACAAGTATCCATATTATGTTATTTTCATATTGTGATATTTGGTTTAATATTACTTTTTTAATACATAATTAGTCATCTTAAACCCTCCCATTTCTGTTGACACGAAGGACAAACAGACCTGGACAGGACAACATGTTCCCCTGGTTACATCATGGACACAGCTTGGAATTATATGGACCTGTTTAACTGAAAAACTGGATTTTTTTTTGTTTTTCATTAGTATTTCTGATGTGCACTGCTGTTTGCATTATACCTGCCGACCTGCATATATCCTGCTTTCTGCTCTGTACCGGTTTCCTCTGTTGGCCTTTTTGGATATCAGACAAAATATAGTGTTAACTGGTTTTGGACATCAGACAAAACTAAATTCAATCTGGTTTTGGATATCAGACATAACTGAATGATAACTGGTTTTGGACATCAGACAGAACTCAATCCTAACTGGTTTTAAATATCAGACAGAACTCAATGATAACTGATTTTGGACATCAGACAGATCTAAATTTTGCCAGTTTTGGATATCAGACAGAACTTAATCCTAAATGGTTTTAAATATCAGACAGATCTAAATTTGACCAGTTTTGGATATCAGACAGAACTCAATGATGACTGGTTTTGGACATCAGACAGAACTCTGTTAACTGGTTTTAGATATCAGACATAACTTAATCCTAACTGGTTTTAGGTATCAGACAGAACTCAATCCTAACTGGTTTTAGGTATCAGACAGAACTCAGTCCTAACTGGTTTTAGGTATCAGACAGAACTCAGTCCTAACTGGTTTTAGGTATCAGACAGAACTCAGTCCTAACTGGTTTTAGGTATCAGACAGAACTCAGTCCTAACTGGTTTTAGGTATCAGACAGAACTCAGTCCTAACTGGTTTTAGGTATCAGACAGAACTCAGTCCTAACTGGTTTTAGGTATCAGACAGAACTCAGTCCTAACTGGTTTTAGGTATCAGACAGAACTCAGTCCTAACTGGTTTTAGGTATCAGACAGAACTCAGTCCTAACTGGTTTTAGGTATCAGACAGAACTCAGTCCTAACTGGTTTTAGGTATCAGACAGAACTCAGTCCTAACTGGTTTTAGGTATCAGACAGAACTCAGTCCTAACTGGTTTTAGGTATCAGACAGAACTCAGTCCTAACTGGTTTTAGGTATCAGACAGAACTCAGTCCTAACTGGTTTTAGGTATCAGACAGAACTCAGTCAGAACTAAATTTGACCAGTTTTGGATATCAGACAGAACTCAATCCTAACTGGTTTAAGGTATCAGACAGAACTCAATCCTGGCTGGTTTTAGGTATCAGAAAGAACTTAATCACAACTGGTTTTGGATATCAGACAAAACTGGAACCTTTCTAGAAATGTTAGATCCAGTCTTTTTACAAGATCCCATCAGAAGTCATACATTTTGTCTGGTGAAATTACCACATTTGTGTTGTCAGCCTACACATGAATGTAAGCTTTAGTCTGTGAATCTTTAGACTTTAGACTGCTAACCTGGAAAGCTGTGAAAAACAACATAACCCACCTGATCTGAACTAAATATTGTTTCATTTCCTAATGAAAAGATTTGAGCAATGCCATTCCAAAATAATGTCAAAGGTTTATTTTTGTGAAATGTATCTGAAGATAAATTCTGCGGAAAAGGAAAGGACAGTGAGAGGGACACTCGGCATTGGGAACATTTTGTTGGGAATGCTGTGGCTTCAGGCCAGAGTTCACCACCGCTGGGCCATCTTTCCTGCGACTGGAATTCCCGATAAAGTCCCTCTTTGTTTGGACAGAGACGGGCCAGGGCAGTGTCACACATACATCCGGCTCCAGAGAGTTGATCTTTGGCGACAGGAGTGCAGATCGGCCGTGTGCCAGAGCTGGTGCAGCAATATTTATTGTGGATGAAATGTGCTGTTGTTGGATATTCACACTGACCTGCCAGAACCGTGCGAACCGTTAGTACATAACATGCTCCTTGCATGCACCATTCCATCAGGAATTTATCAGCCTGTGAATATGGTTCAAAAAAGGAATGGATTAATGCTTAGCACAATATTTGTCATTCCTGTAGTGATGTTGAGAAACTCAAGGCTCTGTTCAGTATGCATATATTCTGATAAAGCACATGCTATTGTTATTTGTTTAATAAAGTGATAAGAAAATCACCTTGCATTATTGTTATCACAAGTCACAAAGGTTCATATTTGAAAGTAAACACTGCATATCTTGCTATATATTTGAGAAAATATGTGCTTATATATAGGCTATACCCATATCGAGTGCTTTGAAATGCCAGCATATGTTGGACTTTGGTTATATTTACTGATATTTCTTGGGTGTGGTGATTGATCATAGGTGAATTTCCTTTGCACTTTGACTGCTCTGCAGTGGAGATGTTCTGTGCATGGAGAAATGAATGTAAAAAGTCTCTTTTGACTACAATGGACAGTCAGGACTGCTGAGAGGATTATTGGTGCCCCTCTATAACCTCCAAGAACTTTACATCTCCAGAGTGAGGAAAAGGTCTAAGAAAATCACCCTGGACCCCTCACACCCAGCCTACTCTCTCTTTGAACTGTTGCCCTCTGGCCAGCGCTACAGAGCGCTGTGCACCAAAACAGCCAGACACAAGAACAGTTTTTCCCCCCAGGCCATATCGCACCTGAACAACACATAACACACCTCAGTACTGCACATCTGTAAATAACTCATTAAACCTGCATCTGTAAATAGCACATATGCACATTCACAGTTCTGTCTATGGACATTTGTCCTTTTTCTGTATATTTTTATTACTATTGTTATTTATAATTTATTGTCTATTCTCTCATTTTATGTATGTCTGCACTTTGTATTTTCTGTACCGGAAGCTCCTAACACCAAGACAAATTCCTTGTGTGTGTGAACACACTTGGCAATAAAGCTCTTTCTGATTCTGATTCTGATTTTGTTAACTTTGGGTATTTCTGTATTTAACTTCCCTAATGTCAACAGAACAATAGCACAACCCACAAAACATCTTTGGGAAGAAGGAAAAAGGTTCATAAAAGGGCATAATCATTTCAATAATAGATTGTTTTGTTTTGTATTTTTGAGAATTCTGTCCTTCATACTAAAATATCATCGGATTATTACTATAGCTGTTGTATTAAAGGCAGAGTAAGTGATTTCTGGTAGCCAATGTTGAGTGATGACAATAAAACATACATTCACAAAGTGTAGGGTTGACTGCATAATGATGAAAGTAAAAGCCTGGATTATGTTATCAGGACAATGATGTTTTTCAGAAATAAAAGTTTGGGGCAAGTTGCATTTTAAATACTTTATACAATTTATTCATTATAAATAGCCTTTTTTTTCTGTTGAATCACTGTATAACTGTTTCACAGTTTACATTTAGCCTATAATAAACTTTTTTAATGGCAGTTTTCATTGTGACAACTTGCCCCATCACAAAGGTCAGTGTGTTAAATAAACTGCAATAGTTTATTAGATTAGATTAACTACAATTACTGTTATTACATTTTATAAAATATCTTGATTTAAAAAAACGGAATATACAATTGTTTTACATAGTTACATCTAATTAAGTACAAGTTTTCTTGAAATAACATATAGCTATATTTATATAAAAATTATCAAGTAAAAAGTGATTAAATGCAATTTATGGATACATTTACACTAGAAATATTGTAAATATTGTCACATTTGTGTTTGCCTGTAACACAATTCTAGTCTAGTCTGAACGGGTTAATCTTGTATTATATCTTAAACTCCTGTGTGTGTGTGTGTGTGTGTGTGTGTGTGTGTGAGTGTGAGAGAGAGAACACACCGATTACGTCAGCAGTGGGCGTGTACCTGGGCGAGTAAAGTCGTTTCAAACTGTTCGTGGTTCAGTCTTCACTCTTCACGCGTCTCGTTCACTCGCGTCCGTGAAATTACGCAGCGCGAGTGCGAACGCGTTACATCACCAGCGCACCTTAACGCAGGTGAGACAGGGCACCCGGAAGAACACGCGCATCGACTATCACACGAGTCACTTGAGTTGCAATCAAGCCCAGAAGAGCAGAGCAGATCACAGTCATGTCAGAGCTCAAGAAGAACAAGTTGTTTATTGTGCTGATGGATGTCGTGTGTGTGCTCGTGGGTAAGTCTGATCTTTAGTTGCATTTCTGCCTTACATGATCTGAGCAGATGATTGTGAAATCCATCCCGAGTTCACCAAAGTTCACCTGCCACCTTTAACTTTTAACTTGCTTTCCACTGGGTACAAGCGCGCTAAACCTGGGGTAATGACTGTGACAGTGGTCATTATTAAAAGAAAATGTTATTTTAAAATGTAATTTGAAACCCATGTTAAATCTGAATAATTATTTTGGTTTTAGAAATGTTTGAAAAATGTTCATACCATTTTATAAAAATTTTTTTTTTTTAATGACTCAAATTAATCATTTCAAAACCTTTACAAATTCAATTTATTTACTATTTATTTAGTATGAATTTATTTACTATGTACTATATATTTATTTATTCTTTATTTTTCTTTCTTTCTTTACATATATCATGTATTCACTTTTCTCATCATAGTTACTCTATTTGACCTAAACCTCCATGTTAATAAAAAGGTCAAAGGTCAGCATTTAGATTTTTAAAAATTATTTTTAGTCTGAATTCAAAAACATATTCATCATAGAATATGTATACATATAATTTTTAATATTTTATAAATGTCTTAATATCTGGATAAAATAAAAATCCAAAATTCCAAACTGTGTCTCTCTAATTTACTCTTACCGATTGGTATATACAGTATATATGAGGTAAATATTGAGCAATATAATGCCTGAAGTGTTAAATTTATATGTCTAGTGTAACATTCCTCTCAAGTGTATCGTGATAACTAGGCTATGTATTTTGTCTCAAAGCAACAAATGTAGAAATTACAGAAACATACCAAGGATGTGACCGAGACTGGGTGGAGAAATAATATTGTGTCTTCCTCACTAATGTATATGATGGTTGCATCCTGAATAATACTGTGTATGTGTTTGTTTTTGTTTTTTTATTTTGTTATTTTTTTATATATACCTTGCAGTACTGTGTTAATACAATGGTATGTGAAAATAATAATCTACAGTGGAGTCCAAAAGTCTGAGACCACTATTGAAAATGCACATCCTTTTCTTACTTAATACTTTGATGATCATGATTTGAGAATGAGCTTCAGTGGAAGCGAGAAAATCTGTGTGAGTAACAAGAGTAACGTGATCAATGCCACTAGTTCGCTTAACTGTTTAGTGACCTAGAAATACAGCGGAATCATTCAGTTTACATCAAAACTAGATTCTTTGTATTACACTGACTCATCAATCAAGAGATTTATCATCTGATAAAAATCATTACAACATGGAGCTTTTCACAAGTTCAGAGCTTGTTCACACTTGCAGTGTTTATTTGGAATGAATCAGTCTTCCAAAAGAACTGGCACTCTTTATTTTCATAAAGATTAGTTCAGATATAGAAATCATTATAAATCTGGACATGTTCACGGTTTCACACTCTGATCTTTCAAATGGTCTCTATGCTTTGGTTTGAGCTGTTTGTTGTGAAGATTCGGTTTTATATTTCCCCACTAACTATTATTTGAGGCAGCACGTAATAACACCTGTAATGTTACACTGGTGAAATGAAGCATGCAAGCATTATCTGATGCACTCAGCTGTATCCTCTGAAGCATAAATCATCACAGTAACAATGGCGACCTTTAGGAGTGTCTCCATCAATGCATGGTTATAGCTGAAGAGAACAATGCCTTCTACATACTGCAGCTCATATATGCTCCAGTTCATCTGTGTGGTCTGTCCAGATGACTCAGAGTGAATAACATTTGTAAATCAGCTTCACTTGGTTCACTTGGCGTGAGTCAGATTTAGATTACTGCTGCTGATGCAGCAAACTCTCACAGATGAGGACTGATGAGTCTCAAAATCTTGATATCAGTGCCAGGATTGGTGTGTTGGGATCTGTTTTCAGTTAAAGCAATAGTTCACGCGAAAATGGTGATTCTGTCATCTGTCATTTGCATTCAAAGATGAGAAAAAGAACAATAGAAGCACTGTAAATTTAGCCGTGTGATTTATGTGCAAGAATCCTTACGATAGGTTTAACTGATGGTTGGATTTTCAGTCCGTTCCTCACACAAAGCAAACAAAATGATTCAGAAGACTTGTGTTTGATTTGAATGAACTGCCTTTCTATAAAGGGCAAAAGTGCCTGTTCACTTTTCAGTCACCTCGGTTCTGGAAGTATTTTTGCCATCCTTTTCAACTGGGATTAGAAAAAAAGTCTTCACGAAAAGAGTTATAAGCACCAAGCTAACCAGCTTCAAGGTGAATCACAACATTGCAAATTTGACATGAAGCAGAAAACTTGAAAATCGGACAAAGGTACAAGACTATAGCTTTAATGAGGGTTAAGAACTACAATGCAGCACTGCAAATGACATATTTTAAAAATGATAGAGAAATATATAAAACAATTGATTTAAAGGAATAGTTCACATGTATAGAAACAATTTAGTTTGTTTATTGCAAAATGTGCATATATATGAAAATATTTAAGTAGCTCAGAGCACAGTGAGACTAAGATTTCAGGCAGTAACGATTTATTTTGCTGTGATTTTCCTCATTGAGGCACTCTGATTATTGGAGATTTATTTGCATAATTGTTCTTTTCCCCAAAAAATTCCACTATTAAACATGAATCTTTTAAAAATTAGTTAAAATAATGTGGGACTGTCGGTTAAACAAAAGCATATACCGATTAACAACCTTGTAGCTCATAGAAGGTGTGTCTTTAAGGGTTAGTGTTAGTGTTAAAAATTTATTCCCATGTGGAGAAAATTAATGTGATTTTTTTTTTTTTTACTTCCAGAATCAGACTGTTGCAGTTTAGTTCTGTTAATTTTTTTATTTTTAATTGTATTTTATTTTTAATTGTATTTAATTAAATTAAATTTTATTTTATTTTTAATTTTATGTAATTTTATTTAATTTTATATTATTTTTTTAAATTGTATTTAATTTTAATTGTATTTAATTAAATTATTTATTATTATTAAATTATTTTAATTACATTTTTAATAAAATTTTTATTTAAAAAAAAGAAAAAAACACTAAATTAAAAATTCTGGGTAAACTTTTATTTTAAAACAACTAAACAAGGCAAATGTCTATATAGAGAGCAGAGATTGACTGTATGAATGACATTTCCTGGCAGTGTGAGTGTGGCCTACAGGTAATGCCCACCTGTGCCTTTCAGCGGGAAGGCAGTGTGCACTGACAGGAAAGACAAACTCAAACAATGTGGGCCATGTAATGAATCCCATGATTGTGTTTGTCTGTGCGTTCTTGCAGTGCTGTTTGCATCTGTAAATGTGCTGCGACGCTGCGTGTCAAGGCTTGCTGTAGAATCAGGTCTGTGCAAGTTCAGATTCAGCAAAGTCTCACGCTATTCTCTGCTGTCAACACTAGAGAGGGACTGCTCTCAAATTATCCCCATTTATGTGTCTGTCCAGACGAAGGCAAATATTTGTGCATGTGTCTGGTTATCCGGACTGGCCGATGGGGCAGAAGGGGAGAATTGTCTGCAGTTTAATGCAAAACCCCCTCATATGCTTAGATTGAAGTAGCACAATTAATCGAAATAAAATGGCGATATGCCTTAGTGAGATTTAATTAAATCAATAAATGGGCTGCAGTGAAGCACTGTGCATTTACACGAGCAATTTGTGATATGGTGTTTTCAGTGTCTCAGATGGACATGAAACTGTCTTCCCAAATTAAAAAGAAAACCAACTTATAAAAAAAACAAAATTTCTCCCTTTCTCCCAAACTTTCTATCTTCAGATTGCTTAAATTTATCATTTGAAAAGTATATTGTTCATGTTTGGTAGAAAAATTGATTTGTAGCCATCTCTCCGGTGCTAATATTCCATGATTATGGTTCAGCTCTGCTAGACCAGCCTTTCTAGACCAGTTCACGCCTCAATAGTAGGCCTTTGTAGGGTTTGCTATTGGAAAATCTGCAGCGTTCGGATTGACAGGTTGCATTGTTTGTGACATTTGAGTAAATCCTTATGTCCACACCCCTCAGAACTTCATACATACACACCAGTGGCTGTAGTAACGTTTCAAAGCTCTTCATACTGAAACTGGAAGATAAAATATTGGATTTCAAATGCTGAATAGTCCATTAACTAAAGCCTCACTCTTAAAAATAAAGGGGGTTTTCACTGCTGTGCAATAGAAATTTTGGTTCTTCAAAGAACATTTCAGTGAACAATTCTTCGAAACAAATGCCATTTTAAAGGGGTCATATGATGTTGCTAAAAAGAACATTATTTTGTGTATTTGGTGTAATGAAATGTGTTTATGCGGTTTAAGGTTAAAAAAAAACATTTTCCACATACTGTACATTATTGTTTCACGTCACACACGGCAGGCTAGAGTGAGGAACGGCCGGTGGGCTTGAGAACGGAGCGGCCGGCGGGCTTGCAGCAACCACATGTGGCGACCCCGGGCTGGACTCCGCTTCATCCCCGGTGAAAGCCGATCCGGCGATCCACAGCGCAAAGTTGTAGTATTTCGAAATCACATCATATGACCCCTTTAATAATCTAATAACCAATTTAATAATTTAATAAACATTTTTTCCACTATAAATTGACCCTTTTGTGTAATGGAAGGATTCCATGGGTGTAAAAGGTTCCTCAAGAAACCATCTGTGTCAGCAAAAAAACTTTATTTTTAAGAGGTGTACATGGATCCGTGGCAGTGAAGCTTCATCTCAATGGCTGAATTTCCTCTTCCCTTTGAAGCATCAGCAGTTTTGAAGAATTCATGAGTTCATGTTTGTGCTTGGCTTGTGAAGTCCTTCTCAGGATGCAGAGGTTGAGTCTCTGCTGTTGCCTTTCCGCTTCTTATGTCCCATGATTCCCTCTGGCTTATTGGAAATGTTCCATCTTCTTGAAGTATGTATAGAATTTACAAACATCCAAGCCTCCTTGAAGAATGTTAATTACAGGATTTCCTCAAACTATCTAGACTATAGAGTTTAATTAGAAGAAAATGTATGGAATGTCATCAT